GTAATGTATTTCTACATCTTTAAACACGTACAAGATGCAAATCACCATTCGCCTCTGTCAGCTTAGTTTAAAATCTGTCATTCTGCCTTAATATCATATTTTTTTTTATTTTTTGATTACTTATTGTCTAAAATAATATTCAAATATTTTTTCATTGTTTACATTAGTCATATTCATTTCTAGGTGAAAATACTTTGATAAATTTACTCATGTCGGTGCCGTCTGTGTAATGAGTTTCAGGCCTTTGGTTTAAATGCAGAAATAGTAAACATCTCTCTGTGTACGTACTCTGAGATTCATACCACTCTCGGTGTATATACACTGTCATTGAAATCTATCGGTGCATATAAATTTGGAGAGACTGACCTCTCTTGGTAGCATACACAGTTTTAGGGGTGTATGTGTCTGTGTGTGTTTATGTGTGTGTGTGTACTCACCTATTTGTATTAACTTATTTGTGGTTGCAGGGGTCCAGACTCAGCTCCTGGCCCCGCCTCTTCACTGACCGCTACTGGGTCCTCTCTCTCCTTGCTCCATGAGCTTTATCATACCTCGTCTTAAAACTATGTATGGTTCCTGCCTCCACTACATCACTTGCCAGACTGTTCAACTTCCTGACTACTCTATGACTAAAGAAATACTTCCTAACATCCCTTTGACTCATCTGAGTCTTCAAATTCCAATTGTGACCCCGTGTTTCTCTGTCCCATCTCTGGAACATCCTGTCTTTGTCCACCTTATCTATTCCTCGCAGTATTTTGTATGTTGTTATCATGTCTCCCCTAACCCCCCTGTCCGTCAGTGTCGTCAGGCCGATTTCCCTTAACCTTTCCTCGTTGGATATTTCCCTTAGCTCTGAAACTATCCTTGTTGCAAACCTTTGCACTTTCTCTATTTTCTTGACGTACTTGACCAGGTGTGGGTTTTAAACTAGTGCTGCATACTCCAGTATGGGCCTGACGTACATGGTGCGCAAAGCCTTGAACGATTACTAACTCAGGTATCGGAACACTATTCTGAGGTTTGCCAGGCGCCCATGTGCTGCAGCAGTTATCTGGTTAACGAGTGCTTCTGGAGACTTGCTCGGTATTATACTCACCCCAAGATCTGTCTCTTTGAGTGAGGTTTGAAGTCTTTGGCCACCTAACCTATACTCTATCCGGGGTCTTCTTTGCCCTTCCCCGATCTTCATGACTTTGCATCTGGTGGGGTTAAATTCTAGGAGCCAGTTGCTGGAACACACGTCGAATCTGCCCAGGTCTCTTCGTAGTTCTGCGTGATCCTCATCTGATTTAATTCCCCTCATTAACTTCACATCATCTGCAAACAGGGACACTTCTAAGTCTACCCCTTCCATTATGTCATTCACATATACCAAAAATGGCACCGGTCCTAGGACTGACCCATGTGGGACCCCGCTCGTCACAGGCGCCCACTCTGATACCTCATCACGTACCATGACCGCTGTTGCTTACCTGTCAGGTATTCTCTGTTCCATTGCAGTGCCCTTCCTGTTATACGTGCCTGATCCTTTAGCTTTTGCACTAATCTCTTGTGAGGAACTGTGTCGAAGGCCTTCTTGCAGTCCAAGAAAATGCAAACAACCCACCCCTCTCTTGCGTGTCTTACTTCTGTTTCCTTGTCATAAAACTCCAGTAGGTTTGTGACACAGGATTTTCCTTCCATGAATCCGTGCTGGTTGTCGTGTATAATCATGTTCCGTTCCAGGTGCTCCACCATTCTCCTCCTGATAATCTTCTCCATGACTTCAGATACTATACACATCAGTGACACTGGTCTATAGTTTAATGCCTTGTTTCTGTCTCCTTTCTTAAAGATGGGGTCTACATTTGCTGTCTTCCATACCTCGTGTACTTGCTCAGTTTCAAAGAATGTGTTGAAAATTGTTGTTAGTGGCACACAGCGTCTCTGCTCCCTCTCTAGGGACCTGTGGAGATATGTCCGGTCCCATTGCCTTTGAGGTATCAAGGTCACTTAGCAGCTTCTTCACTTCCTTATCGGATGTGTGTATTTCATTCAACACTTGTTGGTATATCCCTTGTTGGTGTACCCCTCTGTTTTCTCTTCCCAGTGTCCTTTCTGTCTCCACTGTAAATACTTCCTTAAATCTCGTGTTGATCTCCTCATATACCTCTTGGTCATTTCCTGTGAGCTCCCCACCTTCTTTCCTCATCCTGGTTACATGGTCCTTGACTGTTGTCTTCCTCCTGATGTGGCTATAAAACAGTTTTGGGTAAGACTTGACTTTCGATGCTATGTTTTTTCGTACTGTCGCTGGGCCTCCCTCATTATCTGTGCATCCTCGTTTCTGGCTCTTCGACTAATCTCTTTATTTCCCTGAGTCCTTTGCCTTCTGTACTTTTTTCATTCTTTAGTGCCCTTAGTTTTTGCCCCCCTACACCTTTGGGTAAACAAAGGGCTCGTTCTGGTCTTCAAATTATTTCTGTTGCCCTTGGGAACAAACCTTTCCTCTGCCTCCTTGCATTTCGATGTTACACAGTCCATCATTTCGTTTACTTACTTTCCTACCAATTCTCTTTCCCACTGAACCTCCTGCAGGAAGTTCCTCATACATGTGTAGTCCCCCCTTTTATAGTTTAGCTTTATCCTTTCTACTTCTGTTACCCTCTCCACTTGTAACTCTACTATGTTTTCAAACCTCAGAACCACGTAATCACTAGCTCCAAGGGACCTTTCATATGTAATATCCTTAATGTCTGAGCTACTTAGGGTGAACACAAGGTCCAGACTTGCTGGTTCATCCTCCTCTCTCTCTCTGGTAGTGTCCTTAACGTGTTGGTGCATGAGGTTTATCAGTACCACATCCATCATCTTGACTCTCCATGCTTTGGGACCCCCATGTGGCTCCAGGTTTTCCCAGTCAGTCGCCCTGTGGTTGAAATCGCCCATAACCAGTAACTTTACTCTACTCGAGTGAGCTCTTCTGGCCACCTCAGCTAGTGTATCCACCATTGTTTTGTTGCACTCATCATATTCCTCTCTTGGCCTTCTGCAGTTCTATGGTGGGTTATACATCACTGCAATGACTACCTTATGTCCCCAGGCTGAATTGTTCCTACTGTGTATTCCCTTTCTCCAGTCTCGTCCATTCCTTCCATTTCCTGAAATTCCCATTAGTTTTTAATGAGCAATGCAATCCCTCCTCCCCCTCTGCTCCTTCTATCTTTCCTCAGGATCTGATATCCGGGTGGGAAGATTGTATCTGTTATTGTCTAAGTGAGTTTTGTTTCTGTGACTGCTATGGTGTCTGGGGATGTCTCGTTGATTCTTTCATGCCACTCCTCACATTTAATCCTTATTCCATCTGTGTTCGTGTGCCAAACCTTCAACTTCTTTTCTAAAACTGTGATCTGGGGAGAACAGTGGATCTGAGGGAGAAGGAGCCCTGGTGGGGACCTATAAATGGTTGCTGTGGGGTTAGTTTTTTTGTGTGGGGGGAAGGGCCTTAAATTTTCTTTGGAGGGGGGGGTTGGAAGAGGGGGGGTATCAATTTGGTTTTGTTTAATTTTTTTTCCCTTGGGGTTCTGTGGTTTATCCTTCGGGTCTGGGCTCTTGTTCCCCTTTCCTTGCCTCCCACCCCTCCTTTGCGTCATTGCAACCCCTTTTTTTTCTTTTTCCCTTCTTCTTTTGGTTTTGTTCCGGGTGGGTGCCCCCGGGGGCTCCAGTTTGTTTTTTGTATGCTTTTCTGGATCCGTTTTTATTTTTGCCAAACCTCCATTAAAACCAATCCATTGTTTTGTGTATTTTATTCTTTTTTTTATGTGATTGGGTGTGTGGTATTGGGGAATTGGGGTTGGTGTGTTTTAATTTGTTTGGGGCAAGGGCCAGTGTTGTTTTGGGGGGGAGTGTTAGGTGTGGGTGGTTTTTTGGGTTTGTTTGTTGTTGTGGTTGGGTTGGTTTTGGGGTTTTTGGGTTGGGTTTGTTTGTTGTTTTTTGGTTTGTTTTTTTTTTTTTTTTTTTGTTTTGTGTGGGTTGTTTGGTTGTTGTTTTGGTTTTTGGGTGTTTTTTTTTGGTGGTGTGGTGTGTTTGGGGGTGTGGTTTTTTTGTTTTGTGGTGGTGTTGTTTTATTTTTTGTGTGGTATGTGTTGTTGGTGGGGGTTTTGGTTTTTGGGGTTGGTGTGGTGTGGGGGGGGTGTGGTGTGTGTGTTTGGGTGTTTTTGGGGGGTTTTGGTTGGGTGGGGTGTGTGTGGGGGTTTTGGGGTTGTTGTGTGTGGTTGTGTGTGGTGTGGTGTGTTGTTTTTGGGGTTTGGTGTGGGTGTGTGTTGTTGTGGGTTGTGGGTGTGTGTTGTGGGGTGTTGGGGGGGTTGTGTGGTTTTGGGTGTGTTTTGGGGGTGGTGTGGTGGTGTGTTGTGTTGGTGTGTTGGTGTGTGTGTGTTGTGTGTGGGGTGTGTGGTGTGTGGGTGGTGTGGTGTGTGGTGGGGGTTGTGGGTGTTGTGTGGTGTGTTGGTGGGTGTGTGTTGTGGGGGTTTTGTGTGTTGTGGTGTGTGGTGGGTGGGGTGTGTGTGTGTGGGGTGTGTGGGGGGTGGGGGTGTGTGGTTGGGTGTTTTTTGTGGGGGGGTGTGGTGGGGGGGGGGTGGTGGTGGTGTGTGGGGTTTTGGGGGGTGGGGGGTTTTGGGGGTTGGTGTGATGGTGTGTGTGGGGGTTTGGGGGTGTGTGTGGTGGGTGTGTGGGGTGGGTGGGTTTTGGGGGTGTTGGGTGGTGTGGTGTTGGGGGGGGGGGTTGGTGTGTTTGGGGTGGTGTGGGGTGTGTTGGTTGTGGGGGTGGTGGTGTGGTGGTGTGTGGGTGTGTTTTTTGTGGTGTGGTGTGTGGGGTTGTGGTTTTGGAGTTTTGGTTGTTGTGGTGTGTGTGGGTTGGGTTGTTTGTGGTGTTTGGTGTGGGTGGGGTGTGTTGGGGTTGTGGGTGGGTGGTTGTTGGTGTTGTGGGTGGTTTTTGTTGTGGTGTTTGTGGTGTGTGTGTGG